GTACCATCACACCCTCCTTCATAAAAAAGCAGAGCAGCAGCATGCCCACAATGGTTTCCACCATGGAGGAAATGATTCATGGCCTTATTTAACTGGTTCAAAAAAATGACTTGTTGAGATTTGATGGAGATGGTTGGTGGTGAATTTACATCTTCTGCAGCTGTTGTCACAATCTGTGATGATGCACAGAATCACAAGTCCAAGTGTGAACAGTGTCACAGAGTGTAAACACAAAACTATCTGCAGCATTGTTCACTAAAATGGCACCATTGATGTATTAAAATATACTTGCAGTAGGCACAATTCATGATATTGTAGACCATTAGGGAATACATTAAGCAAGTACTTTTAATACTTTAAGTATTTTTAAAAGCAAGTACTTACTTACTTTTACTCAAGTAAAATGTTAATGTGGTACTTTTACTTTTACTAGAGTACATTCTTGTCTGTTTATCTGTACTTTTACTTAAGTACAGTGTTTGAGTACTTTCTCCACCACTGCATGCTTCTCTCAACACTGAGTGATGGCGGGATGGTGTGGGTGTGGCAGAGTGGTGAATGCTGATGCCTCACCGTTTGCACACAGTTAGCTCTAAATCACACATACATGATCAGATCTGTGCTACATCTGATGTGCACCATCAAGGAGACCTGCTTAACAGATTGTTAGTTTGATGCGATTACTTTAGCCCCGCCCACTTTGCACGAGATTGGCTCTTAATCACACATACGTGAATCAATCTGCACCAAGTTTTGTGTGTATTATCAGAGAGACCTGCTCAACACGTTCATGCAATAGTTTGACAAGACTACTTTAGCCCCCCATCAGTCGCTCTGTCCATCTGTTCATCTTATGAGATTATTTAAATAATGAAGGCCTGTGATGATTTCAACAAAACTGCTAACGGTCACTGCTGAATGGAGACGGGGACATCAGCGACGGTTTGCGTCGAGTTCCATCTTGTTAAAGTTATCTCTGTATGTTTGTGACGGTCTGCTCCTATCYAACATCTTGTATTTCTAGTAGTGGAAGCTGACCTTTGTTCATCCTAACTGGACAATTCTCCTGTCAACTTGTTGTTTTTAATGTGCTGTAGAATTAAAAATTGACATTGACCTCCTGGCTGATCTGAGACAGCTGGACCAGGTGTTTACTGTATTAAATGTTTCTATTCTTCATTCAGCCATACATGCTAACATTTATTACTGATTTTACAGACGTGTCATGGTTTTTCTTTCTGTTGCGTATTTCACTATATTTAATGTTGGATGAAAAGTGCAATTGTGTCACATGTTCTGTGGTTTGAAGGATGTCTGACACTGGTTAGATTTTAAGTTTTCATATAGTATTTGTGTTTTTGTGTATCTGAATCCTCCCACCGGTGCACAATTTGTTAATGCTATGAAATCCTCTCACACACAGGAGTGGAGAATCTGGTCATAATCTTTGAGTTTTGTCCCTGGGTGTTAAAGATTTGTCCTGAAGATGGCTTGAAGGTACGCAGAAATGTATAACCTTAGTACTTTATTTTCAATCTAACAAGGTAAAGGCAGCTAGGTTTCTTTTTTTTCTTGAGGGAAAAACAAATCCAGTCGTTTTGATTTATTTTGTTGGGATTTTTATGTCTGAGAATGGACACTAATCTCATAAGGTTCCAGTACCGCAGTGACACCAACCAGTAGAACCAGAAACTGCTTTGACTGTATTTTATATTTAACATTCAATTATAAATGTCTCATTGTTTATTATTAAATTGTTTCTTTCTTTTTAGATCTTTACTGAAGATCTGCCCGAGGTGGAGACCTTGCCCAGAGACAAAGTACTGCAGTTCCTGAAAAAAGGCTTTGAGGAGCTTGCGATCCCTTATTTAGAGCACATCATTTATGTTTGGGATGAAAAGGGCCCTGAGTTTCACAATGTGCTTATTCAGCTTTATTTAGGCAGGGTTCAGTGCCTCATGAGACAGTACCTCAACTCACTGCCTAAAGGTATGCACACGATTAAAATCAAGCTCCTGAACTCTTTCATAAAGTTAGAAAAAAATATTTAAATTTTAATTATTTAAGCATTTCAACCAGAAAGTTCAGCTTTTTTTGGACGTGAAGCATAAAATGATACAAATGTAAWATTCAGCTGCATAACTTTAATTTAATTTCAGCGAAAACTTCTCAAATGTTTTTAAAGAAGTAAACCTGATGTGAGAAGAACAGTTTATTTTTTACTTAACATTTTTTTTACATTTCATCATGTCATTCATGAAAACTTTTTTTTCTCTGTTTTATATCACAAATTCTTAACATTGTTCACATTTCTGTCTTACTCCAAGTGTTTCTTAATCTCATGAAGCAGAACAGAGTATGATAAAATGCACTTGGAATATTTTATGTGATTGATTGCAGTCCTTTGCAATATTAATAATGTACATACTGATATTGAAAAAAATTGCTAAGTTGCGATATTATTGACTGACAAATGACTAGATTTTGGCACAAACCATTATAATACAATATCTTCTGAAATTTCAGGGGTTCCTGCTGTTCCTGCAGGCAAGGAGAAAGGGGAACTGGGAGAGTTCAGAAACAAACTCTTGTCTTTTCTGGAAATTTCCAGCAGCTATGAACCTGCCAGACTCATCAGTGACTTTCCATTTGATGGTATGCAGAGTTCAAGATTTTCAGGAGGAAGTGTAGACGGTTTGGGGTGTTCTTTCAGGTGTTTGTAGATGCATTTCAAAGCATATTTTTTCCCCAAAGTTGCACTCCTGCACCATACGTGAAGTGCAGAACATTGAAAACCAGTGTGTTTCATTTAAAATAGAAGTACAGGAAACCAAATAATTATTTACTTGCTCATGCACCTACAGCACCTCACATTATTACATTATCTTACTTTACAATCCTTTGGATATTTTATTTTAGAGATGTTTTTTAAGCCTACACAAAATGTTTCAAGTGAAAGTTGCAGACATTTTAATCCTATTGTGTTGTCCCTCCATAGCAGGGGTGTCCAATCCACGTCCTCAGTGGTTAGAAATCCTGCATRTTTTACTTGTTTCTCTGCTCCAACACACCTGTTTCATCAATAGAATCTCTTCAAGAATCCACTTCAAGTTCTGCAGACGTCTGTCAATCACTCATTCATTCAAATCAAGTGTGTTGGAACAGAGAAGCTTTTAAAACATGCAGGGTAGTGGCCCTCGAGGACCAGGATTGGACACCCTTGCTCCATTATATTTTTAAGGAAAATTTTGTTTTCAGTCCTCAAAGGTGGCTGTGAGCCTTTAAAACAATCAGCTGATGACATATTAAATAAGAAAACAAGGATGTTGAGGTGTTTTTTATGTGTAAAGAATCGTCTCTGTGTATATTTATTTTTGGTGGTACCTTTTTAATAGTAGAATAAAGTCGTTTATTTTTCAAGAATTCTGTATTTTCAGCCTGTCGGACACAGCTTCCTTCACCGAGTTTGTTTTGCTCCTCCAAGGTTTGCTGGAGGAACGAGCCCTGCTTCTGGGTCGCATGGGTAAACATGAGCAGGCGCTCTTCATCTATGTCCACATCCTGAAAGACACCCGGATGGCTGAAGAGTGAGTAAATGTGACACCASCACTGAGCCTTACCTGATCTCTGATAACTTTCCAGATATGTGTAAATGTTGCACTACTATCATTTTATTCTAGAAGTGTGAGAAACAGGAATATGGTCCTTTTTTTGGCTTAAAGTAGACATGTCATGCCCTTTTAAATCTTTCTTTTTCACATTTAAACATTCAGTTGGATTCYTCCTTATTGTAACTCCACAAGCCCCACTTTCACCCCTTTTCTGAGGGATGTCTCAGATCAACTCGTTTTGAGGCTGTCTCTCTGAATATAAATGAAACATTTTATGCCCCGCCCCCCTCCAGCTTCCAGAGCGGTCTATTCTAGTTTGATAGAGGGGTTTATGACTACATAGTAGCATGAACGTTTTATTTACAAATTAAAAGGTCAACAAGGGAAGGCTTGTCCATCCAGCCTTACATGTTGGAGCCAGAGTCTGACCAAGAGGAGAATGAAGATGACCAAACTGTAAGTCCAGACCTTATGTGGCAGTTCTGTCGCAAAAAACTTAATAGTTCAGAAACRTCATAGAAAACAGAGAAAATTGAACGGGTTGAAAAATATGACCCACARTATRATTTTTGCATATRTCCCCTTTAAGATGGCTGTTATGGCTAAATTACCTCAACGAACACAGAAAATGACTCAAAATTTACAGCTATGAGGCTGAAATTTGGATCAACGGAAGCTGAAGTTGTCTCCAGCCCATAATAATAAACCTTATTGTATTGTAAGTTCACGCATCTCATCCTTATGTTTGGACCAAAGCAGCTACAACTGTGTTCAGCCTTAAAATGAGATGTTCATGTTTACAATCAGGGGAGACGGGGGTTTCCTTAAGAATTGCTAGGATTTATTTTTTTTTCTACTCTTTTTGCAGATACTGTCACAGGCATTACAACAGTTTAGTTGAAGGAAATAAAGACGTAAGTAGATTTCTGTCTAAATTATTTTATGCACATCTAGTTTTTTTTCTTTTTATTCAAATCTTATTAACGTTGTTGCATCCTAATGAAATATTTTAGTTTTAAGTGATTATTTTCCATCACCACTTTAAAGTTTGATACCTCCTAAAATTTAGTGTGTATGTGTGTGTGTGTATATAT